CTTTTCTATTTGGATGCTATCTCTATTATTATTGTTCATGTTATTATTCCTTGTTTATTAATGCATTTTTATAGAACTCCTAATGCCCTGTCAATCTCATCGGGGCGCTTTGTTTAGGAATTAGGAGTAATTTAGGCAGCTTCTAAAAGAGCTCTATTTACAAAATAACACATTGAACTTCCACTTTCTCTCCTTTATGAGGAGAGACTAACCTAGTTCCACGCCAAATGTAATTAATTTTTCTTATCTGGATCCATGTGTGAATGAAACTATGTGCATTTATATGTTCGTAATAATATAAAGGAATATATTCTATTAACACAAAAATTTCTATTTTTCTCCCCAAGCTTTCCGGCAGACGCTTTGATTGCCGGTTTGAAGACAACTTTCGAAGTAAAATGAACAAAAAAAAGTAGTTTAAGAATGCTGAATTAGAGCGTGTGCGATTACTTTTCGTAATACGGGAAAGCTACGCTAATATGGAGCGGGAGACTCTAGGGTTCTTGCGGAGCTGCTGATTTGTGTGTCGAGTAGTTTCTATTTTTTCCTTGTCTGCGTATTTTGCACAAAGTAGGGAGGGATAGAGATTTGACAATAATAACATGGGTTCCATTTTGCTTTAAGCTTTCACTGTATGTTCATACGTTTATTTCTACTTAGTACATTTGTTGGAATCTGCTTTTTACTTACACGCGTTTTACTGTTGCTTCATATTGCCTACTAGTCTATTGCCTATCGTTTCCTCTGCGTTTATTTGCTATATGTTCACTAATGGGACCATAGGACCTTGTCTTTTTATGTTTGTCCCTGGTTGGTGTGCATGCCGAAACTGGTCTCCATAAGAGGAGCAGGACAGGAGGTAGTGCTGTGGATTGGGGGCCAAGGGACATTCAGATTGGACGCAAGCAACTTTATGGGCGGCGACAATGCAAATAAGGGGTGGTCTTCTGGGGCCGAATGTCGCGTAATTATCTTTGGCCGGTTGTGTCCCTCTGATGGTCGGTGTATGCTCAGGTCAATCTGAGTACCGACTGCTGTGAAGAGGTGACCGCGGCTCTGAAGATAAAATAGGTTGGCGGATCAGGGCATGATATACTATTTGTTAAGATTTTTAATGCGTTAACACAAGAGGCTTCAAATTTCCTCATTATCTATATCATGGCCGTCTGTTAGTTTTTAAATATTCATACATGGTGTGACGTTTTTCATTCCTTAACTGGTGTAAATGATTATTTTTTCGAACTTATATCATGTCTGGTTGATTCGCTCACGTCTGTGCCATGGTAGTCGTCGAGGGCTTTGGTTCCTTTATTTATCAATAACTGAGAGCCTTTTCCTCGAAGACCTTCTTAGCTTCACGCTAATATTTGAACAATTATTCAAGGCTTGCTCTTCCTAACAAGTTTCGATCCACTATTGTGGTTTTATATTGCATAGATTGAACTGTTTTAACCTTCGGCAAAATTCAACTCGGTTTCTATGCAGCATCGATGTACAGATGAAATTTAATACTTTTGACATCTCGAGCTCCTGAATTCGGTTCGAATCGTGCCGGAGTGAATTCATTTTAAGGTGTTAGACTTTTACTAGTAGGTGCTTTTATAGTGAAATAAAAATTTTCTCAAATG